ATTGCTTGATCACGCCTTTTATGCCTGTTAAAGGGAAATTGTATTTTAAATCGCGCTTAATAAGATAATTAATAATTTGGTTTAGGCTAATGTGATTTTAATTCAAGTGATCGCCAATAATAGCTTTATTTGTGCATTAAATTTCAACCAACATAGATAAACAGGTTTAGGGTTAACCTATTGATTGCATCTTAGTCAAGAAGCACACATGAATACGAGTAGAATAAAGTAGAGGCCTATTTTATAGGGCGAGCCCTTTCTTTTGTAGATTGGATTCGTACCCTCATCCCCGAACCCTATTTGGTTCCCGACCTTATGGAGTTGACGATCTCCAGGACCGTTTAAGGGGTGTAACCTTCACCTCGTGATTGGTTTACAAGTTCCTAAAACTTGTTGGCGACTCTTTTGCTCTAGCTTTCTTCCCTTTGGAACACCACCATACTTTAATGTATGACCATAGTGGGGTTCAATCTTGGGGTTATGGTGCTTGAAATATTCCCTACAGTACCTTAATATTTAGAATAGTCCTAATCGTAGATACTAGTAGTTGCATAATTTTGGTTAAGTCTTGAAGACGGATGTTCTTGGAAGACGAAGCCATCATGTTGCAAAAGAAGACCCTTTGCAGAGTTGAAGAATTCAAGGGGTCATGCTAGTTGCCAATATGCATCTTATACTTATGCTTTATATATTTATGCTTGTGCTTATATATGAATGATATGTTAGATGCATGTTTAGGTTTTCATTATGTTGGGATGATTAATTAAGTTCACTTAAAACACCCAACATAAAAATCCTAGGTCCCTAATAATATTGAGTAAAACTTGTCTTTCCAAAACAACACTTACCAACCGAAAGAGGGTGATGGTGGGCTACGCCAAAGCGAGGTACCATCACTACTCCAAGGAACGTAAGGCACACCGGGTGTGCATGTTGGTTTTGGTTGTACTCAACTATATGAGTGATGGAGTCCATACATGTCTAGGCAAAAGAGATAATTCGTCAAGGGAGCATTAGATGCGACGATTATCTAACCAAGAGCGGCTTGGAGCCATTAGCAAAGAGTTTCTAACCAGAGTTGCTAACCTTAGAAGATTGAGTGTTAAGACAAGCCAAATCATGCTTAACCACTCATTGTTTCTTTGGATCTTGGAATCGCCTTATTTTCTCCAAATAGGGACAAAGTTTTATGCGTAAATAAGACGTTTAATAAGATTGAAGTTTGCATGAATGTTCTTAAATTTCAAACTTATTATGTTCTTGATAAATGGTTATACTTTTCACTTATATTTGTAGTATTCTAAGTCAAATTATATTGTTTTCATGATTGGTAAAGGAAATCTCTGAGGATAGTTCTCAAAGAAAGGAAAACCATTTTTATAATATAATTCTCATAAATGACTTTTATAAAGTTCGAAAGGACGGTTGGACATCATGTATTCAAAATACTAGGTAGTTTTGATAAAACATGAAGTATTGAGTTGCAAACTCAAATTGTCAATATTTGACAACCGACGTATCTTTTCGCTTCATACATAAATTAGTAGGACTCATTGATGTAGTAATTCAAGCATGAATTAAAGAAAAAGATGGAACTTTGTTTTACGGCGCACTAGGTGCTTGATTATAACTAACAAAGTATAAGCGTCAAGCTACTTAAAGAAATGGTTCTTAAAGTAAGGTCATGAGATATTGTATGATAAGAAATATAGGAAACATAGAACGGTTTAAAGGAATTAGATTCCATTTCAACCCATGAGTTCATGTTATTGTAGTTGACTTAGCAACTTGTTATCTTCACGAGTATCGGATACTGCTTGAGTGTTCCACTTTGAAAGTGACCTCAAACCATTGAAGTTAAGCTAAGTTATCGACTTATAAACTTAGAATGAAGCAAGAAGAGCTACATAAGTTGTAAGGTCGTATGTTTTGTTTAAAGACCTTTTAAGCTAAAGGCTGGAACAAGTAATGCTTATTATTATGTTCCATAATCAGCAATTGATCCGTTTACACACGGAAAGACTCGCATTCAAAGCAATGAGCAATAGTTGCGAGATTTATTTGAATGGCATGGTTATGCGACCGCCTCGGTTTCTTGCCGCCTCTCGTTCAATTGTACCTCTCGTACATGCCATGTTCGACTGCAATGACAGAGAAGAATTAGTGAGTATGAGTTGGTACGCATTAGAAATGGACCCTGTCTAAAGAAAAGAGGAGTTGTCTCCATCCACTCTAGACTCAGCAATCCCAGGCGAATGGCCAACCTCATGAGGAAAGAGGGACGAATCTGAATATTGTGCTTGTTCGTGTTTAAAATATAAAAACAAGTGTATGAGAAAGGATAAATAAATGAAGAACCAGACGGCTATCTCAGTTCAAGTAGAAAGTTAAACTTGAGAAACTTTCAAGATCTTGACAATTTGACTAACAAACTCGAGAACAAGAACAGAAAATGCAATCACACGGCAGAGTTCTGAAGATGAGGAAGGAAAATCACTTTCTCTCTTTAAAAGCTATGACTTCTCTCTAGAAAACACAAAAATTCAAAGTGTTTTTATGAAGTCAAACAAGTCCTATTTAGACGCAAATTTATGAGGGCAAAAAGGTAAACTTACCTTCCTCGACACGTGATCATGTCAAAAGGGCAACACGTGTCCCAATTAAAAGATGACACGTGACAAGGCATAAGAGCACCTAAATGAGAGAAGACCTCCTTACATTAGGAGGCCCAATTCCAAAGAAAAGCACCATAACGATGCCCCCAACGAGACATGTGTCTCTACTTGATTGCGCCGTCAATTAGTGCACTCTTTTTTAGGGCACCAACTTTAGAATACACATATTCTCACTCTTATAAATACCCAAATTATTTATTGGAGGGGTGGATGGAGACATCTCATTCAAGGCATATTAATGATCTAACTTCTCTATACTTTTGTTTTTTGATCACTAAGTTGATCGTCGGAGGCAAATATTCTGTTAAACAAAATATTTGTTGTTTTTGTAGATGTCTCCGGCGGTCCGTTTATATTCACAACCTGTATTACAAGGGATTAAAAAAACCCCGAAACACGAGTATTGTTAATTAGTTTTCTATAATGATAATTCATATGTTGGTTTTGAAATTATGGTTGGTGTTAAATCATAGGTTAGGTTACAAATATGGTTGGATTGAAATCATATTACGTTAACTTCAGGCCAAGTTAAAAATTTGCGTTAGGTTAATATCAGTTCGGGTTAAAAACAAATGATATTGAATTGGGTGTTTGTAGAGTTGATTCGGATTGGTTTGAGTTTCGATCGGGTGAACCTGGTTGGGTTTAAGTTCAAGGTCAAGTCAAATCAGTTTCAAATTAAGTTTTGGTTAGATCAAATCGGTACTAGACAGGTCTGATCAGGTCAAATTCGGATTTAGATTGAAATCAAGTCAATTACAGATTAGGTTTGCAACCTAATTTCTCAAATCAAATCAGATTAGTTACAATTTGAAACAAATGATTTTTAAGGTTAGTTTTGACACCTCTACTCGCACATAAAACATGGTATACAAGTAGAGTAGAGGTGATCATTGGGCGGGCCGGGCCGAAGCTAAAAAATTATGCCCATTTTTCGGGGCGGGCCGGGTAGGGCCAAGCTTCGGGCCGAATTTTTTGTGCCCAAACCCATCCAAAATGGTCCAGCCATGCGGGCTTTTTCGGGCTATTTTTAGGTCGGGCCCTAAAAAATCAACTAAATATGCCTTAAAATGCATTCCCAAACCCACCCTAAAAAAAAAAAACATTTTTTTGGGCCGAAAAAATCTGCCCAAAACCCACCCAAAGTAAAGCCGGGCTAACTTTGATCACCTCTAAGGTAGAGCTGTCAAAAGCTGACCCGACCCGAAATACAGACCCAAACCCGATTATTAACCGACCCGTTTAAACCCGAAAAAATGTTGACCCGAACCTGATCAGACCCGACCTGAAACCAACCCTAGACCCGAGTTACCTCGAGTATTTGAGACCCGAACCTGAACATAAACCGACCTGGAGATGACCCGACCCGAATATAACCCGAAATTATTGACCTGAACCAAACCCGACCTGAACCGAAATTGACCCAAACCCGTTTTAACCCGTGAATTAAAAATCCGAATTTAACCTAACCTGTTACTAACTTGACCGGTTACAAACCCGACCCGAAATCAACACGACTTGTTATTGACCCGACCCAAATTCAACCAGGCTTGTTATTGACCCGACCCCAAATCAACTCGACTTATTATTAACCTTACTCGAAATCATCTCGACTTATTATTTTATACATCTTTATTATTGTAGACATTGACTAGCTAAATAAAGATATACGCTTTATATATTCTAATCTACTTGTAAAGTCGTAATTTCGTAAGGCTAAAACTACTCTATGTTAATATTGATCAAAGTATTCTGTCTTTGATGTAGTGAGACCAAGTCAGTCCAACAAAAGAAGATAACCTGCAAATTATTGACTTGAACCGAACACGACTTGAACCCAAGAATGACCCGACTTGGAAATGACCCGACTTGATTATAACCCGCAAATTATTAACTTAAACCGAACCTGACTCAAACCCAAGAATGACCCGAGACCCGATTATAACCTGCAAATTATTGACTTGAACCGAACCCAACTCAACCCCGGAAATGACCCTAATGCGTTTTAACCCGTGAAAACCCGAATTATATCCGATCTATTATTCACCTGACCCGAATGTAACCCGACTTGTTAGTAACCTAAACCCGATAAGATGTATGAATTGACGTGACCCGACTCAAGCATGACCCAACCCAAACTCGACCCGAATAGGTCACGACATTAACTCGAATTGACCAGACCCGAGTTGACCCAACCCATACTTACCCGACCCGTTTACCCGAATTGACAGCTGGTATGTTAAGGGTACAATTGGAAAGGGTTGCGTAGAATATGGTGTTTTTTAGTATAAAACCCTGGTGCTTGCATTGTATTTAGCCGATGCCGCGTTATTTTGTTTTTCCCCACCGCGCACTATTTCTCTTCCGCTTTCTCCCTAAGAAAGTAAGAAGGCGTCTGCTCCGGGTTAAGCCGCCGCCTGAGTGCTATCCTTCTGATCATCTGTCACGTAACTAATCATCAAATTTTATTGTTCTGATTAGTTTGATGCGACTTTAAGCTATTTAAGTTGATCATAATGAAATTCTGTGCGATTTTTTTGTGTATTTGGTATGATTCTGTTGATTTTCTTCGAGGTTATGTACTTTTGTGGTTATTTGCTCGATATGATGTGACATTAAATTTTCCGATGATAGTGCTGAAATTTGGAACTATTTGTTGAGATTCTGATGTTGTTATGCTATTGTTAGATGATTTTCGAAAATGCTGTTGTATATAAAAGGATGTTGGCTGTTGACATTATGTTAATTTCTTCGTCTTTGTTTTAAATTCCATCTTCTGATTATTTGATTTTGATGCAGGTTTTCATGGATACTATTCCAATAGAGGGTTTGACACAAAGGTGAAATATGGATTTATTTTCAAACCTTTCTTATATATATATATATATATAGTCTATTTATTGCTACGTTTGCATTTCAGTATGAATTGATTAAGAAGTTGGGATCTGGAAAATTTGGTGATGTATACTTATGTTTCAATTCGGAGCTTAAGTGTGAAGTTGCTGTCAAGATCATTGAACTCATGAACAAATTTGACAGCCTTCCTTCTGATCTACTGAGAGAGATTTCTATTTTGAAAGATTCAAAACATGAGAATATATTGAGGTAAACAATTGGTTGCAAACTTTACCACACTTAGTTTTTTAAAATCATTTACATTACGCTTCGTTGTGCTACGTTCATTTTTTATGTAATTATTACAATGATTTATGATTTACTTGGAATCAGCAGTTTGCTGGATGTCTGTGTGTCTGGAGAGAAGATCTACTTGATATTTGAGGCGTTGGATATTGAGTTGGGTGATTACATTGTGGAAGAAACCCCATCTATGCATATGATCAAGGTTTGTGCAGTTCTCTATGTAAGTTAATTTGTATGGTGTTCTAATTTCCTTTAACATAATTTCAAAAGATTTATTGTCATTATTATTAATCTATAGTCCATGATTGTTGGATAGCTAGATGTTGTGTTTGATGACAATGTAGAATGTACTTGTGTACTATAGTCCACTATTAATTTGCTCCATTGTATGCGCTGGACTACCTCCCCAGTTTTTAATCAGGAGAAAAAAAAACAGATAACAATAAAGTAGTAATCTGGAGGGAATACCTGAATTTGTTTTTATTTTATTTTATTTTTGACTAAGACTTTTGTTGGCAACTATGTGAGCTCTTTAGCTCGTTTGAGTTTGTGGATGGTTCTCTAAGGTTTTAGGTATGATTCTATTAAAATTTTGTGATATTGTTTGCTCTAGTAATGCTTTGGATTATTTACTTTAGTTCCTCTTGGAAATGTATTATTGTCATTATGTTCTTGGCAGCTATGATAATGTAGTAAAAAGCCTGCTTCATATGAGGCAGGTCAGATACATAGCAGGAATGCTGTGTGGATGGGTGACTGAGTTTCAGATTATGTCTTATTGATTTTTATGCATTACACGTAAACTTGATGTAGACTGTAAGATGTGCCAAACACTTTGCCATCTTTAAATATCTTCCAGCTTTCTGTGAGCCGAGCTTATTATTTAAAAAGAGCTTGGGAAAAGCAAGGCTGTCCACTTTGTTGGGTGCTATTGTATAATTCTTGAGGAGTTGAACGATGTGGGAAGGCTGTAAGGAGTCCTTGCAGGGTGTGCCTGCAGTTTGGGTTGCTTGTATATTCTTTCTGGCAGAGTGACAGGTATTAATACTCGTGTTAGGTCTTTTATTTTCCTTTTTGAGATCCATGTGAGATGGGCATTATCTTTCATGGTTGATGCTTACTGACCGCATGATGACGTTGCAAATGTTCATGTAGATGACATTTTCACTTTTGTCAGTTTTGATTATAAACTGTATAATTTTTGTTTTTGAATTTCAGATTGTTCTATATGGTATTTTGAGCGGCCTTAAACACCTTCATGAAAATGGCATAATACATCGAGATTTATGCCCTACCAACATTCTTCTGGACAGAGATAGAAAAGTGAAGATTGCTGATTTTGGTCTTGCACGCTATTCAAGTGACAGCCATGAGAGATACACTCATACAGTAGTTTATTCAATTCTACTTGAATGAATGTTATGTCTTATGTAACAAAATATTCTAGCATTATCTGTCTTGAGATAATATTAGCCCTTTCAATTTTGCAGGACTGTACATATGAGTACACTTCTCCTGAACAGTTACTTTCTGCTCCCTACTCGTTTCCTATTGATATTTGGGCTGTGGGATGTATCTTTGCTCAGATGGTGAAGGGAGGAGATACTCTCTTAATGTACAACAGAGAATTAGCAGCTGTCGCAAGTATCTCAAGGTTTGTCCGTTGCCAGGAACTATTTTGTCCTTTCAATTTATCTGCTGTCCAGTTTACATCTTTGCTTGTCTTGAAGGGTGTTTGGGACACCACATGAGAAAACTTGGCCTGGTGTAACTCAATTCACCTAGTCTCATCTCAGTGTCTTATCAGTCTGGACAGGTAATATGCGTGTAATTTTGTCGTTGATTTTGGTGTTTAAACAATAGGTGTTCCTAAGGGTATCTCTCGGCTGCTAATGCCAATGTAACAAAGAATTCATACATTTTAGCAACTTATTCTAGTTGAACTTGAGAGACATCGTACTCTTATTTCCTAACACATGACATGAGCATATGAAAAAAGAGATGTATATAATACTTAAAAATTCAATGTGGCCTATTATTTTGAAAGAAACAAGTATTACTGTATTACTGTCTTGATTACTGCGGTTTTTGTTTGTACAATTTCTAATTTTTTATTGTCCTTTTCATTCTTAGAGTAGCTTGAATCATTGACGAGGATTGGCCCTGACTAGCCACACTGAAGCTTAGTACAGTGGCTTGCTAGGGCTTTTGTTGTTTGAAGCTTAGTAACAGCAATATCTGTGAACTTCTAGCTTATGTCAAAAAAATTATAAAGTAATTCTGTAAGTTTTTTAGGATGGATGGTGGAAATAGTTCTGGCATAGTGGTGGTTAGTGTGCGTGTATGGAGGGAGGCGGTTGTTGTTGAATGGACGGTTGTGGTGGTGGTCAATAATAAATTTAAAAACAAATAGATTAGGGCTTGTTTGACATCATTTTTTGTTTTCAGTTTCCTATTTTTTAAAAAACTAAAAACCAAAAACAGGAAACAAGAAAAAGGTGTTTCCACTTTTCCGTTGTCAGTTTTCGAAATTATCATGATTTTAATAAGCCTTAATAATTTTTGATTCATTATGTGACATAACTAATAACTTCAAAAAAACAAAAAACTAAAAACTAGAAAACCACAGCAATGCCAAACGAACCCTTAGTGACCAAGAGCGAGAGAGGGGGGCCATATCTTGGTCGGCTGTGGTCGAACATGGTCAGGCCATGTCAGAGAAGCTGGTGGCAGTGGTGGTGTCCATTGCTTCCGAGGGATGATGACTGTTAGGATTTTTAGGTTTAAAGAGAGGGAGACAGAGCAAGCGAGAGAAAGAGAGAGTGAAGGGTAATGAGGTGGGGAAAGAGAATTGTAAAGGCTAGGGCGGCAGTTTGCCATTTACATCAATAGACAGTAGCCCAATATACCTTAAAAACTATTTGTACAACATATTATTAGAGCACATAAATTAACCATAGTCGGCGTAAATGAAAGTGATGCATTAAAAAAAAGAGGAGTGACGTACTCAATTATATTTAATAAATTTGGCAATGTTAATCTTATTTGGTTTTATTACTTTAGTTGTATGCCCATATTTATGTGTCACACATTTAGTTTTGATCTGCGTAATTTTTTTTTTTTTCATGATCTGCCACTGATCAAGTAGTGGCAAATTAATGATATTTCTTGTCTATCAATTATGATGGCCTTAAGCTACAACTTTATGTATGACTGAGAAAATTCATTCCAGCCTTATGCTTGGTTTTAAAAAGCGAGAGGACGCACCGAGGCGGAAAGGGTCCCCAAAGCCTAGGCACTAGGCGCGAAGCGGAGGAGCGCGCCTCTTGGATATGAGGCACACCTTAAGTGCCCAAAACCTTATAGCTTACTTCTAGACCAAGAAATAAGCCTTAAATAATCAAAATAACATATTATAAATGCATAAATTAACAAAGGAACTACAAGATACCCTTAAAAGGCGCTAACGGCCTCAAGTGCGCCTAGGCGCACTTTTTAAAACTAAGCCCTTATGTATTTGTAATATAAAACCTGATATGCTATTTTGATTTGTCTTTATCAGGGTTTGGCACAAGAAGTTCTGCAGCTTGATTCTGTTGGTTTAGATCTTCTATCGGTAGCTTTATTAAGTTTTTATACAGTTAAGACATTTGGTTGGTGGAAACTTGTTTATTTACTATGTGTACATTGCAGAAACTGTTGGCTTTGGATCCACAGAAAAGAATCACTGCTGAGGATGCACTGAAGCATCCATTTTTCAATGACCTGGTACGTGTTTTCTTCTTGTTGAAAAAGTCTCTGATTCAAGTTTAGGAGGTCAATTAATCAATTCTGAACGTAAAATTTGACCATCTTGGGTGTGACTTATTCATGATTCTATGATTCCATTTTCCAGAGCCTTATGGCCTGCTTGGTGGTATGCCATAATAAGTGATGCTAATGGCTTATATGTAATTTGCAGCTATGAAATATTATCCCCAGACACGTGATCAAGTTCACAAATTTCCAATTGATGATTAGGAAAAACACATGTTTAGGGATAACTAGTATGGTACCCGTGCAGTTGCACGTTTTAAAAGTTTAAATATTAAATCTCACAAAATGGAAATCAAAGTTAGCTTAATAAAAGTAGTGATATTTTTTTTTTTTTACATTATATGATTATTCATTCACAATAATGTGTATTATTGCATATCATAATTTTAATTCAATGTTGAAGGAAAAAAAAAAATTAATTTAGAGATATAGAAAAGTTTATGTCATTTACATATATTACCTATTACAGAGTTGATCATAATGACTCGTGTCCATTCATATATCTCATATTTTACCGTTATGTGTACTTTTGATTTAATGAACTTAATAAACTACTCTCTCTATCTCTTAATGTGGTCAAAAAATTTTAAATCAGATACATAAGTTACCTCTAAGATAAACTAAAGCTACCCTATTATAAGTAAAAGTTACCCATTTAATGGAGAGCTTATGTTTCTTATCTAATGGAGACGGTATAATTTACGTTGTTAAATTATACGTTAAGTTTTTTTTTTTTTTTTGAAAAAAAAAAAAATCTTAAAGCCATATTTTCTAGGTCCTTAAGTTATTTTGCAGCATGGACCATTTTATTTTATTTTTGCCTTAGAAAAATATGTCCAATTACTCCTTCTGTCTCTAATTTTTTTCCCCATTGCATATATATAGGTAATACCTGTCCTAAAATCACACACTTAAGATGTTATGCACGATGATAATCTATTTTAAAAGTAATTATCTTTTGTTAAATATAGTATTATAGTGTATATATTATATAGAGTGTATATCTTCTAGTCAAAGTATAAGATTAGTTACCTCATTGTATCAATTTATCACGCCTAGTTTGAGGCTTGTATTATGTATATATGCTGAATTTTGGTAAAGTGAATACTAAAGAAAATAATTCCCAAATTCTTTCATCTTTATATTTTTATTATTCATGCATATTACTACATGATATTTATTTTTGATAATTTTACTTGATATGATGATTTTTCAGCAACTTTTGTAGTAACCCCTCACCACATAGACATTAACACGAGTATTTTCTTTCAAAACTGTCATAATTCATTACCATTCCCATTTACTAACCTACACCACTCATGCAATTTGTTGATTGAAAAAAGGATCCAGAGCTTTATATTTAATTGTTGTGATTCTTGTGAAGCTTCATGCTTTATTATTCTGAACTTACAGGCACCTTTACAGACCCCAAGGAGTTGCTGCTTTCAAGAGGCTGAGTGATGTTGGTAAAATGTTCCTATATAACTCTGCAATTGGAAATATATGTATGATGTATCCCTTCTGTTAGTATTAATGTTCTGAACATGGCTGAATGTTTGGGTGGCTAAAACTTATAGAATTGCGTAGCTGATTGCGTACTTTACTATTCACTCCATTGTATTCTCCCGGCCAGTATAAAAACAAGTTTTTGATATATGATTTAATATATACATGGGGAGATATTAATGGAAATTTCAACGAGAATGGAATTAAAATTCCATGCATTCCCTAATTTTGTGAATAATTTTCAATGGTGAATCTCTTCTTAGTACAATCTTATGTATTCCTTTTTTTTTGTGTGTGTAGAGAGTGGTAATTGAAATGCCCGCCCCTTAGGGTTGTAATTTCACTCAGCAAAAATACATACTTCCTCTGTTTTTTAATATTTGCAATACTTCCCTAAAATGGTAATATCAAAATACTTGCAATACACTATAAATAGACAATATTTTGGGAAAAAGTTGTACTATCTCTCTTATTTAAAGCACATGGCCCACTAAATTTATACACTAAAAAATCATTTATCCCATTTTAAAGTGTATTATATCATGTAAACCCTTCTTTTTTTAAATAGCGTGAAAAACTGTGTGTTGCAACTATTAAAAAATGGAGGAAGTATAAGCTAAACTATTGGAGTATTGGCTTTGACTAATTACAAGTACAACAAACAATATAGACCATAACTTAACTACTAAGGCCTACAATGTTCATGCAAATATTAATCCCAATGCCTCCCTAAATTTGGAGCACGAAGGTCATAAATGCCAAACTAGTGAAGGAGAAAATCAAATTCGTTTTTACCAAGTGCCTTCGCGAAAATAACACCAATTGTGCATTTGTAGGAACATGCGAGAAATGTCATCTAGAATAGCATCGCGAAGAAAGTGACAATCTACTTCAATATGATTCGTGCGCTCGTGAAAAACTGGAACCCGAGAAAGATACAATGCAAACTCATAGCATGTGGGTGTTGAACACCAAGACTATTAAGCCATTTCAATTCACTAGTTATTGCTACCATGACTTTATACACAGCCTCGGCTGAAGAGTGGGAAACAATCGCCTGTTTCTTATTCTTCCATAATGTAGGAGACCGACCAAGGAACACAAGCCAACTAAACAAAGACCTACAAGTAAGAGGGAAACTTGCCTATTCCGAGTCACACTAGCCAGATATATATAAATCACAATCAGTACAAAGAAGAATACCTTGCCCCGGAGCACCTTCAAATTTACACTACTCTCATTGCCGCATCCGTATGATCACGAAGTGGCTCATGTAAAAACTGAGAAAAAATACGTACTGCATAAGCCAAGTTTAGACGAGTGAAGAACAAGTAAATCAAATGCCTTACCAAATCTCTATATGATTCATCATCTGCCAAAAGAGGACTTGCCGAAAGAGCCAATTGATGGTTTTGCTCCATAGGAAAAGTCGCAGGCTTAGACCCTAGAAATCCACTCTCCTAACTAATATCAAGAGTGTATTTTCGTTGACACAAGAAAGTCCTTTCCCCATTTCTAGCAACTTCAGTCCCCAAAAATTACTTTAAAACACCAAGATCTTTCATATGAAAACATTCACCAAGATATTTCTTAAAGGCTAAAAGTGCAGCGGACTAGTTCCCGGATATCATCAAGTCATCAACATAAATAAGCACATTTACCTTGGTGAAAGGTAAATAAGGAGTAACCAGAGTATGATTATTGAAAACCATAACTCTTCAAGGAAGCTGCTGTGAGGAGGGTATCCCGTCGTTGGGGATCCCACTTCAACTATGCCCTGGCCCTTTAAAAGCCTACGAGGCTACGAATTTACACTTTTTAGGATGTGTTAGGATTTTAATTCCTAACAATTTGGGAGACATTGAATTAGAATTGTGTCTGTCATTAATTTTTTTTTAAAGTAACCCATAGAAAGTCGTTAATGAGTTATAGGAAAACTCATAAACCTCGTTCATGCCTTTCTCCCAAATATAGTTTAAAGGATATTTAGCAGGAATCATAAGTTTACCCATGCCCAAATTGGTCTACTAAGCTAGTATCAAAATTGAGTTGGAGAGCAAGGGTACTAAGATAACGTTCCTTTTTGAGGGGAATCGTCATCCTAGCCCTAGTGCGACCTCTACATACTAGCTCATCCTTTTT